GAGAGAGAGAGAGAGAGAGAGAGAGAGAGAGAGCATGAACATGTGCGTATATTTTATATGTATGTACTTTCGTACTCTCACACTAGTTTTGTAAGCCGTCAAACACGCTACAAGTAAGAAAAGCGTCTAAAACGCAAACGTTGCCGATGCTATACACTCCTGCCGGCCGGTGAAGGGTGTACAGTATGGGAACTGTGGATGGGTGGCTTTTCTTTAGGGACGGGGGGCCGGACCGAATGGTGAATGGGCGGCGATTTGTCTGAGCTTAAAAACATAGAATCGAGAATTTGTGCCCTCCGCGTTTACTTAGCAGTCTGCTGTAGGTTTATAATATAGCATTGCAAGATCAACTGAGTGGAGGATATCATCATTATCAAGCTCTCGGCCTGTGCAGATATGTTCTAGGAGAAATGATAATAATGTATAATAATATAGGCTAGTATCGTCATCGTCATAAAAAGATCAAGAAGAGAAGAAATTGTGTGGATGTTCCCAGGACTGCCGGCGTTGTGTTGTGAGGTGTTTGTTTTTTTCCTGTCACTGTCATCGTTTAGGGTAGATCTAGATGCCTGTACGCATGTTGTTTGTACTGATTAGGACCGTTCTAATGTAATGTGTAAAGTTTATACATGTACTAGATTCTAGATTTAGTTGCAAAGCGCATACAATGTGTAGATCTCGATAGAGCGTACTGTGGAACGTTGCTACTGTAGAGCGTATGCTCATAATATATTATCATTAGGTCAATTAATTAATACTATTATTATCATCATCATAGTGTGCACGTGTTGTTGTTTTTTGGGCCAAGATATATTATAATATATTAATATGAGTATTTCTAGGGTCACGTAGCTTACGCACGTGCGTGACGGTCGACCAGTTGTTCTGTTGATGGTAGGCCTACAGTTTCTGCCCGTGAAAGTAAAAACAGGATTTCCTTAGGAATTTAGGAAGTCTTGTTGTTGTTGTTGTTGTTGTTGTTGTTGTTGTTGTTGTTGTTGTTATGGTGGTGGTGTCAGTGTTTGTTGTTGTTGTTGTTGATGACGTTGTTGTTGTGGTGGTGATGGTAGTGGTGTTGGTAGTGTTGGTTGTTGTTGTTGTTGTTGTTGTTCGTGGTGGTTAGTGTACCAGAGAGTGGTGCTAAAGTAGCCCTCCTCTTCGCTAAACTAAATGATCTAGATAATATTTTTTGATTTAGACAGTGTCGACACGGGCATTAAACTCTACAATTATAAGTTATATACATTTTTTTGGTTTTTTATTAGTGTTGGTTTTTATGTGGTTTGTTTGGGAAAGTGGGGGGGGGGGGGGAGGGTATGAGTAAAAAAGCAAGCATGTCAAAATAGATTGGTTATTCAGTGCACAGAGTAAGACCAACAGAAAGATCAACAGAGGAGAAGAAAAGAAGTACATGTAGAATGTACCAGGTGAATAACCCTTCAAAAAACTGCACACACGCCAACAGAAACAGCAGAGGGAAAGAAAAGAAATTAAGGATCTACCTGTGATACCTTACGACCACCTACACACACACACACACACAAACACACACGCACACATATACACACACACACACACACGCGCGCGCACACACATCAACTGAAGTACAATATACGTGCATAA